TGTATTAAATGTAATGGAGAGTACTTTGAAGGTGATCAGGTTGTTTTGTAAGAAAAAATTTAAAGACTGTTTTGGAAAAAAAATCCATTTTTTATGGTACCCCCTAGTATACTACCTACCCCCCAAAAGACTTGTGCTGAGGACATTTTCTGTGAATACGATGTAATCACTCTAGAGAGCTGTGGGTCAAAAAACACTATATCTAATCTGAATAAACTCACTCAATGAAAACCTCACAGCCGTTGCGTTGATGCCAACCCATAGACTGAAGAGGAAACGGTAGAACGAATTGGCCCCTGTGAGTGTGAGACTTACAACTCCTGATCACAGAAAGGGAAGGCCTGTCTTTCTTCCTCGTAGTGGCTGGGTTTCAAATTGCTAATCTGTGGATCACAATGGAATGCAGGACCACGGTGCCACCAGGGGCCTTCTCACCTGAAGTGTTTCCTAGTTCAGATGACCTTCCTTCCAGCATGATTTGTCTCAGGGGTTCATTTAGTTCTAGACAGGAGGCAAATATTTTTGGAAAAATGAGGTGGTATGCAGAAGACAATACTGTGTGTATCAAAAACTTTATTTTTAATGACTATATCTGAAATATTTCCAAATCAACTCATAGGTCTTCGATAAGGTTAAAGACATCTGGCTCATGACGGAGGGGGGAGGGGGAAATGAGAGAAGAAATATGAATCAGAAGAATGTTTGCAATTCTGGAAGCTAGGTGATGGGTACATGGGGTATAGGTAGTAGCCTCAACATCTTTTCACCTGTTTAAAAGGTTTCTGATAAATTATGAGTAATTTTACTTTCTCTGATGTGCAAAGTATACTATAAAGTATATAGTATGCACGGACTGGAGTGATTAGTATCATGATTGAGTTCCCTTACTGTGATAAGAACCATTTTATTTTTCCTTGCAAGGGATTTCATTTTATGTTCTACCCATAGGACAGATTTAACTGTACATGTAAGGCCATAAAAACATGAATACATCTATTGCCACCTTGATGTGGCATTACTTTCTACAGCGGCTAACAAAATTTATTATCTTGGACATGGGCCACCACTCCATTTTACTCTTAGCATTTTAAAGGAAGTGTGCTGGAGTTTCTGAAAGCAGACTTCATTAGACGGATTCACTTTATAGGAAAAAATGAACATAGTGCTATCTGTGAAGTATGAGTCAATGTGAATTTAATGGACTCCAACTTTTCTATACCATCCTTTGAACACGTCAGATCCATACAGATTGATTCTGAAGAGGATTGGGGAGTTAAGCTCAAAATTTCTCTCAAATATGCTTCAAGTGACCAACTTTAGAGTTGAAAGAATTTTTTGAAAATCGGTGATGATTCAATGAGCACTTACTATGTGACAGGCAGCCTGCCAAAGTTCCCACAAACACGGTCTGAGTGCTACCCACCACCACATAAGCAAGCAAAATGTGGTTAAAAAAACAACAACCAAAAACCAACGTGGCTGCCATCAAATCTTTTCTGACAGCGACCTCAGTGGACAGTGCAGACTGCCCCTTTGGCTTTCCAAGGCTGTCCATCATCAGGGCAGCAGCAAACCTCCTCTTTCTCCCGAGGATCACCTCGAAGTTGGAACGGCTGGCCTTGCAGAAGTGACCCCAGCCACTCTTCCCACAGGGTTAATTCTTCCCGATTCCCAAGAGCCAAAAATACCTCAAGCTCACTGCCATTCTGAATCATGGTGAGCAGTACTGTGGAGATGAGAACAAGGCTGGATCATTTGTTAAGCATGCATGTTGATAAGCTACCCTATGCTTCACCCACTAGAGAAATCTAGGTTGTTTACCCCTCCCCCCGCCCATGAACAGCAACCCTTATCCAGGGCTTCCAAAAATGTTCAGTCTGTATAGGACCAGCCAGTCTTTCGCCTTCAGAGCAGCTGGTAGGTTTGAACTGCCGACCTTGTGGTTAGCATATGGTAAATCTCTGGCAAAGACTTTAGGGAGAGACCATCCTTTTATGGCCAGAAAGGAAAGACACACCTTAGATTTATGAAAGTTTTTCCCCAGCTTTGGTACATAGGGTACACTGACAGAATATCTCCTGTGGCTGGTCGTGGGAACATAAAGAAATACGTTTGAATGATATCTTTAAAATATTTCAAATTTTTATTAAATATTTTTATTCAGTTTTATGATCACAGTTAAAGTACTTTAGCATGTTATACACATGAATTACATGTGCAATTTTTAGGAATATCAAATTAGGTATAAGATTGTGAAGAAATTATATAAATGTGTATATTGACTTTTACTACATATACATCTAAGAAAGCAATAATTCTGTTGTACCATTAAGTGGAAATCATTTATTACAGGGCATGTTTACACCAACTCTAAAGAGAACCAAGCCAATTCCCAAAAGCAAAAGAAAGGAAAAACAGCAAAGGAGTGACTCCATCATGCTGCAAGGGTTGACAGACGTAAGACCTGGCGGCCAGATGACGCTGTCGTGTTCAGCACGCATCCCAACCTGCACGGAAAGTTCATCATCTGTCTGCTATGTGGGATCTCAGGTGGGTCTCACTTGTTCTCTTTTTGTGTGTGACAAATTCCTGAGCTCAAGAGGCTTGTTTAGTGCTAATGAAATTAGAAAAATGCTGACCATGTGAAGGGCGTGCGGCCGGGCTCGACTGTGCATTCCCTGCCCTCAGGTCTGCTGCTCAGAGAGCCTGGCTAGGGCACCGACTGTCAGCGGACTCCCGCCTCCCAGGGCTGGGGGCACGGAAACCTATGTGCGGAGTGACTTAGGTGAGAGCTAGTGAGGTAAGATTCGCATTGCGAGTGGGAGGGCTCAGAGGCATTGTGTCAGGTCCTCTTTGCTCAGTAACCAGTTCTGGCCCAAGTGAGGATGGGGAAGGCTTTGGAAGGAGCAGTAACGTTCACAAGAACTAGTTTTGTGCATAAATATCAATTGGAGGGCAGGATCAAGAAAAGGGGTGGTTATAGAGGTTTTAGGTACAAGGTTTCTGCTCACAAAACAAAATGTGGCCAGAAAACACTTTTTTTTAATGTAACCAAAATGTGTATTTATGGAAAGGGTAGCACAAACAAGTACGGCAGTCTGACGGGAGTCAAATGTAGTTGCCTGGTTATTCACTCTTCTGAAATTACAAGGACTGTCCTCAGAGAAAAGGACAGGCATTCAATACAGAGCATAACTTCGCTCTCTTCCAAACCAAAGCAAAACTGCCAACCCCTGCACACTTCACCAGACATATTGGGGAAGATGAACTGACCTTTTTTTTTTGGTAAGCATGATGTAAGTCAGTCTCACTAAGCTATCCTCCTCACCCCCCAAAACAAACAAACAAACAACAAACCCAAACTCATATATAAAAACAATCCAAATCCAATTCTTTGGGAATGATTGTGTAATGAAAGAAAACATCTACTTAACAAATCAGTACACTCTTTATAAAGTGCAAAACAAGGTCCTCTGGGAGGGGAGCTAAATTTTAATTTCCACCTAGCGGTCACTCTGAATACTATATAGGTCAAATACAATGACAGCATTTGCTTCTGCCCGTGTTTTCAACAATACATTGTTCTCCCTGGAGAAGGTGGCTCATGAAGTCAAAACACTGTGGAAAAGAGTGGCACTGAAGGTCGAAGCAAAAAACTAAAAGACAAACCTTTCAAACAGGATTTACTGAAATTCGTTTTAAAGCCGAGGTAGCCCATTAGAATTGGCCTTATCTGCGGGCTCTGTGGAGCAGTGCCCTTAAAGGGGAACCTCCTCAACAGCATCGTGTACACCCCAACATCTCCCCTCCACGTGTGCGGACTCCAGGTCCCCAGGGGCTCCTTCTTCCGAGCTCGGCGTCTCCGCTGCTGCTGCACTGAGGCGGCCTCCAGCCTCACACTGCTGGTCTTCACAACACTTTGGATTCATACAGTAGTTTAACACGCAGCATGGTCCCAACTGCTTCACATTCATGCCAAACTTGCAGTACAGCTACTCAAGAATCCCTCCTTCCCCCTCCCCAGGAGCAAAACCAGGGTGTTCTGTTCTCAGGGTGGCAATGCCTGTAGCAATTTGTAATTTGCTTTAAGGTCTCGCGAGGTGCAAACATTTCCATACTTTTGAGTCGAAGACTGTGGAGAGCAAAGGAAATCTTAGAACTCAGTCAGAGTAACATCTGACCTAAGGAGGAAGTGACGGGGAGTGAACGTGTTCAGATTAGAAACAGCAGGGCGGTCCAGGTGTTCCATCACTCCCCTCGCCCCACCCCCCCACCATGGTACACGGGTAGCAAGAACACCAGCCATGACTTGGTAGCGGCATCAGCATGGCTTTGGGACATGGCATTGATAGAAAGCTTACGGGGCAGATTTAAATAAAAGTCCTTCCCCATTGAGAGAAATTTGTAGGGAAAAGACTGTCAGGATTACAACAGTTAGGATTTAACCTTCAAAACAGGTTTTGATGAAGTTAACAGTTTTGATCTGAAATCTGTACAACAAAAAACCAAAAACAAACAACAACCAAAAAAAGCAAACCTAATTTGGTGACAAGAACCTGTATTTTCCAATGTGGCAGTGGGACAATTCTCCTCTTTTCTCAACCTCCTGTACAATAACCGAGCAAATAAAAACTTAAAGGACCCCGGACAGTAATTTTTCTCTCATTCAGCTTCTTGGAGCTGAAACTTTAGTTACTATAATATACTCTACACACTTCAAAATTACAGAAGAAGTACTGAGAACAACTAAATAAATAAAATGCTAAAGGAAACTGGAATAGCTCTGTGTCTCCACCTGAGACTAAATTGTCTACTTCCAGTCTCACAGAGAAGGGCTAGGACAATTTCCACCTCCCCTCCTCAAAAAAGATTTATATACAGGCTTGAGTCCAAAAATTAAGGTTCAAAGCATAAATATTGATCATTTCAAATAAGTTCAGAATGGATTTCAGAAAGATATGATACAACAATTTAGAATAAAACAAAGCAGAAGAGCATATTTTGGTTTGCTTGAGATATACATAAGGTGCAACAATTTTTAAATTTTCTCTTGAGGATGCTTATGGGACACATGTTAGTGTAGATGGTGTTTATTGGCAGGTTAAAGTTCACACCATAGCATTATGATATTCCAAAATAGAAAAAAAAAAAGAGAGATGAAATGACAATGATAAATGGTGGGTGGGGGGGGCACTACATGTTGGTCTGAAATCTTTGTGCTAACAAATTTTGTTACCTGAAAATACCAACACCCTGCTCCAGCAGAGTCAGGGTGTGAGAAGCACTATTATTGAAATCAAGACTTCACTCAGAAACAACAAGGCGAGTGTCTAAAGAACTATAAAGCTTTGCAGGATTTCTGCTACTCTCAGTGCCTAGCCGCTTAAAAATTAAGCATTTCTACAAAAAAGGTTTGGTTTTTTTTTTCTCTTCATTTTTTTCCCCCTTAAGTATCTGAAAAGTCATATCCGGTTGGTTGCCCTCCCACCCACACCCCTGCCTAAGGGAAAAGCCACTGAGGTTTAGGAAAAGCAGATCAAGTAAGATATTAATCACATAGAAAAAAGTAATATTCTGTTTGCTTCGTCTTTTTTTTGCTTTTTGTTTTTTTTTAGAAAAAGGTCCCATGAATATACAGCAATCTCTTAAGGAACTCTAGTGAAATGTCATTGGAGGAGGGTGCTCTGGCAAAAATAGATCTATTCTAACATGTTCTACAGAATAGCAGTTAGTACCATTGTCAAGGTGCATGTTCTGCACCATACAATTTTTGTTTGTTTGCTTGTTTTTGGATTTTAGCTAATTACAAATTTTAAATCACTGTTAGCAAGTGGTCCAAAAACTCCAACAGCCACCAACACTGGGACCCAGCCATTTTTAAATGTTCACTTTTTTTGTTTGTTTGGAAATTTAGAAAAGATTAAGAAAACAGCATCATAGCAAAAATTTCGAGCTCAAAACTTGTGATGGGGCTGCTCATCTGATTATTTTTTATGAGAATGGGGCTGCGCTTCAACCTCTCATTCACGCTGTACAAATGTCTTTCTCCCTCCACCTCCACAATGAATGTGCATTTGGGGGAATACCCCTCTAAACTTGGCTGCCCTCTTTTCCTGCTTTGGGAAGAAAAGAAAAAAATGCTATTCCCCCCCCCCCCAATCCTGTTAGTTGTATATATTTCCCATCACCCAAACTGAAGCGATATCTACCATGAAGATCTAAGCCTAGTCAGTATTAATAGTCTCTATTTTTTTTTTGTATGGCTATTAGGTCAAATTACGATTAGAAAAGAAATAATCATTATAATTCAGTCAAGTATAAATAAGAAAGCTAGATAAAACCATGTAAACTGTCACCATTTAGAGATCTAATTCAAAAGCTTCAAACTCAGACGAACACTAGCAAAATTCCACCAGTTTGAAAACCGATAAAAATTATTGCTGGAATCCAATCATTAGAATTTGGTAGCTTGTGCTGTGATGCAAGAGTGGGGAAATACTTGTGCTATGGAACAAATACCCTGTAAAATCTGAAGCCTCAGACTAATTTTGATGCATCACTTTGCATCTGTTGCTAGGAGACAAGACACTGCGAACGTCAGGTGGTTAAGTCAATGTGTTGAATGTTCTAAGCCAGTTAATCCACTTGGCACTGGCATATGCACGGGTTGGTTTTATGTTCAAAAGCAACAAACTAAAGAAAGGAAACAGAATCTTGCAGGTGCAACTAGGACTGGGAGTCCCACTCTGGGCAGGCATGTCTTCCGAATCATGTACCTCCTGGTCAAGTCAAACTTGAAAAGGCTCTCTCCTACCTGCAGTGCCTATTAGGCTGTGCATAGCAATTGCAACCCGTCCAGTCTGGCGGTGATGGATGGTCTGTATCGCTAAGTCCACATGAAGTGAATGTTTCGATGCGTTCAGAATAGTGAAGTAATACTAAGGTCACTTCTGAGTAATATTTTTGTCTTTGTTTGTCTGTATGAACAATCCAGTGGTCACTCCGACCCCGGTGTCAAAATGAAAGAATCCTCAGGGCACAGACACCTCAGTCATCAGACATCTGCAGGACTCTTCCCCCGTGTGGGGGAAAAATATCTGCCACAATTTGCCCCAAGCAAATTCTTATTGGTCACTCAAGGCTAAGAACAAGTCAGCATGTAAGTAAGAATTGTAAATTTACACTCTCTCTCACTCTCTCGCGCTCTCTCTCTCTCTCTCTTTTTGCCAGCAAACTACCACTCTGGTGGCAAATATAAAAGTGCAGAATATATGGACCACGAGGCCGAGCATACACCGCTAACAATGGTACACCTGCCTGCCCATGCTGCTTGGGAGTCTCTGGGACAGGCTTTTTCATATTTATTCTACAATATAAATGTAGGTATAACCTATTATATAAACCATCTTAGAACTTAAATCTCCATGTACAAAAAAGACTAAGAATATCTAATAGTAACTAGTGCAGTGCGTCAGGGGTTTTTTTGTTTTGTTTTGAAAGAATAACTAGGTAATATATGAAACTCGTTTCATACTCTCTGGTTGGTAAAAGAGATGCTAGATGAGCTACAGTCAAGGCAGCCTTTTACCAAGTTACTACCCGTTACTGTTAAAAGCCTTCAATAGAAAGCAAAGCTCCAGGGTCATTCCATTTCTGCATTATCAGACAAGTAACACCACCCTCAAAGAGTCTGGGTATAAAAAAACCATCTGGCCCAGGATGCTAACATCTACTTCAGGTGAGGCTGGGCCATGTAGGGCAACGAGCACTTGTTTGCAGTCTAGATTTCCCACCACACGGACTCGCTAGCATCCCTCGGTAAAGACAAGGCTAGGGTAGTAGGTAAAGCACAATGTTTTACAAGTCAAGGGCGCGTCACTGGTCAGCGCAGGAAATCAGTACAGGTGCCTGCGGCATTTCGTTTGGCTGTCCGTCATGGGTGAGCGGAGTTGCCCTCTGACCTCTGTAAAAGAAGAGGAAGAAGAAGAAAAAAAGAGAGAATCATTTAGGCAGATGATGTTATTAGAGACAGGAGGGGATGAAGGATAACAAACACAGGCTTTTCAATATCTTGTTTGAATAGCGTCTGTTGCTTTGTTGCCACGTATGCTGTTTAACTAAAACGGTTCACCATCCTAAGAACTTTTTTTTAAAAAGGATTTCTCATCTCAGTCTCCCTCAAACAACTCAACAGATACCGTCTTGGACTGCTGCTGACCACACCTCCAATTTACAGAGCTGAAACCTGGAAATGCCAATATAGATCTGGTAACTTCTAAGCCAGGCCGTGGCCCCCGGGCTGCCACCTTCCTCCCCATCCACTCAGAGTACAGATGGCACATTCTTTCGTTGACTTGTCCAAAGAGGAAAATTCTCCTATAATGATGGAGAGGCATGAGGCTCGGCTCTTAAGACATATAATAATATATCCATTTTTAAAACTGTGGCTGATCAAAGCAATTGATCACATGATGAGATAAAGAGGCCTGCTATTCTAAGAAAAGGAAGAAAAAAAATGGAATGAGAAAGAAGCCACTACATGCCTTCCCAACTAAAGTTTCACCAGTGTCTGGGCAATGTTCCTTTAAGGGAACAAGGTTGAGTATTGACTGGAGATTTGAGACTGTCAGAAAACCTAGCCTTGGTGGGCCCCACTCAACACACTCATGGAGGAAGAACACCAGGCGGAGACTAGAGAATTCATGGAAATTTCCATCATTTAGACGGGAAGCATGCTGACCGTAACTGATTTTTCATTCTGCTTTTGTCTAATTCGTTTAAAAAAAAAAAGATTCACCTCATTGGTATGAGAAAATCATACAAAGTTCCTGGGAATTTCTTTTTTGGTTGTTGTTCCTGGTAATTTTTATAGAGCTACCTATCCTTAAAAGACAGGACTGGGACCAGACTGGGCACCTTCCAGACATTTGCAACAAGGCTACCAAACCTAGACTGTGCTCACTCACTGCTCCACCTTCCAAGTCTGCGGAGCACAGCCTTGCTCAGTCAGAAAGCACGTAAGGCAAGGTGTTCGTTGGTTCGGCCTCTGACTATGTAGTATTTTCTTCTGATTAAGCTTAGCAGAAGGAGCTCACTCAAGATTCAAGTAATATTTGCTCCCTAAGAACATGCGCGTTTCTTTGGGTACACATAAAAGAGAAAGCAATGCGAGTAAAGGGCATTTGTGGTTTCAGAATCTGAGCATCACTTGCCAGCCTAAGATACTAGGATTTCAGAAAAACAAAACATGTGTTGGAATCAAGCCTCTGGATTCATCTGTTTATTCGTGTGAAGCTGCTCTACGAACCAACTGCCCAGCCAACTGCTCAAGATGCCCAGCTCTTTGTTCAAGAGAGAAGATATTAAAATGCCACGTTTTACCTTTAAGATGGAATATTCAATAATATTACAAAAGCCAGAGGAATTTTAATAAATATGTTAGAAGGGAACCTAGGAGAAGAAAGATGAAAAGTATAATTTAAGAGAGAGACAAATTGAGGAGGAAGTCTATGCTAATAAGTGGAGAAAGAAAAGAAGCCAGGACCCTGAGTGGACAGAACTACCTCTGGGCCCCACTGGAGTCTCCTGTGAGCGTGTCCTGATTCCCTAGGGCATGTGCTTGTTCAGGAAGCACGCTATAGCAAACAGTAAAGACTCTGGAATTGGACAGGTCTGATTTCAAATTTAGTCAATGACAGTGGGGTTGGAATTTTTTTTGTGGGGGAGGGGTTGCTTCAAATCTTTTCTGAATCACTATCTAGCTGTGTGCTTTTGCAGGTTAACTTTCTGTGCTTCAGTTTCTTCATCATTAAAATGGGTCCAAAAACACCCACTTGGGGATTGAATTTAATGCGCTTCCTTACTTAAAAAAATCCTCACAAATAGCAGGTGAAGCAAAGGCTTGTTCTAATTCTCCATTTCCTGCAAATTATGACTAGATTTTTGGTGACAAGAGGGTGGATGCTATAGTTCTACCCCAAGCTTCCCCGAATATCCTCTGAATGATAAACCTAGGTGATACCTAGGCAATCCTTACTAATTAATCGGTGTGCAACCCAGGTCCACTGACGTTAAGTAAACAGGCAGAGAACTGGCTGGCAGATCTGCCGGGGCAGGTGCACACTAAAGTGTGCCTTAAGACTCCCCAGAGTGATTTGTCTGACTAAATATTAAGAACAAAAACCATTTGTTAGGTTGATAATACATTCTAGTAACCGGTATTGCCCTTCCTAATGGAAAGTAAAAAGAAGACCTTTTACACACACCTTCTTGCCCATCTCATTTATCCAGATTTATCCGTTTGCTCATTTGCCCAGGGATGTAATGGGAACTAAGGGAGCAGGAGCGTGGTGGTGGTGGGAGGGCATGAAAAATACAGACACCCTCCAAATACACTGGGGGGAGCCATGGAGCATCAATACTAGATGACAAAGCAGAGCTGGTCCAATAGACGTTCACAGTGAAGGAGCTGGGTGGAGTGGAGCGTGGAGGACTAGGGCTTGAGGGGGATGGTGGGGGGGCTAGTGGTCACCTGGGAGGGGGATGTACAAAGCATGGCTGAGAACCTGTGTATTCTGGTTCAACCCCATGCTGAGAATTTCCACTTCCACCCCAGATATATACTGAATGAGAACCTACATTTAGCAGGATTCCCCAGGTGATGCTTATAGAAGTCCTGTCTCCAGGTGATTCTAGCTAGGTACAGCGGTTCTCAACCTGTGGGTCGCGACCCCTTTGGAAAGGGTTGCATAACCCTTTCACAGGGGTCACCTGATTCATAACAGCAGCAAAATGAGTTAGGAAGTAGCAATGAAAAACATTTTTTATGGTTGGGGGGGTGTCACCACAACATGAGGAACTGTCTTAAAGGGTCGTGGCATGAGGAAGGTTGGGAACCACTGCTCTAGTACAAAGGGAAGAGCCTGGCTTATCCGGAGAGCAGTTCCGCATGAGGGCAGGGCAGAGCATGTGGAGGGGTAGCAGGGAGATGTGGGCACAAAGGTAAGCATAGGTTTTCTGTAGCTGAGATGGGGAGTCGGGGAAAGCGGCGTGGTCACGCTTATCAGAAGGGAATCTGGCAGCAGCAAGGGTGGCTGTGTGAAGGTCTTTCTGAGCCATCTCAATTTTCTTGTATGACGGCACATATTTTGATTTCCTTTTCAAATGCGTATGTTTGTCCTCTGTACTAGATTCAAACTCCACGGGGGCTGGAGCAGTGTCCCTGGGTGTTTACCTCCCTCCGAGAACGTACAATTCCTGCCAGCATTCCCTTTGCTGCGGGACCTTGCAATGGTTATATAAAAGGAATGTGACTTCTTGGAAACACCCGAGGCTACTTGTGCGGCAGCTCTAGAACTGCAATATGACAGGAGAAGCACACGGAGCGAACACAATCTTAAGCCAAGGCCTCTTCCACTTGGGTGTGGGACGGAGAAGGGGGCCTGGCAGGTGGGGTCTATAGGCTGTGCTGGGTTTCAAGCTCTTTAGTACGAAAAAAAGTTCAGAAAGTAGCCATTCTGTGGGAAATCCACTTGGGAGTCCAGATGTAAAGTACCTATCTATTCAAAAAGAAGTCTGCCTTCCTATTAAGTTGAGGCACACCCACTTCCACTGCAAGCTCAGTGCTTTCTGTGAGGCTTTGTGCAGTTCAAAGGGCCTTCACATCGATGATTTTGTTGGATCGTCTTAGCGTGGTGATTCTTTGCGGATATCATTACGCTCAGAGAAAAGTGAGGTCAAGGAAGTAAATTACTTGGTATAGCAAACTGGAGAGAGTTGGAGAAAATTCTAGGCCTTTGGCCTATCATCACTCAGATGCCAATATGCTCCTTCCCCTGTAGCACACTGTCTTCCTGGGGTACCACCGCCTCCCCAACACCATCCTCAGCGGGGTACTCGCCATTGGCTAGCACTGGCCTGAGTGCACTCTCGTTGTCCATTTCACATAGGAAGCCCCTGGGAAGAAGGCCACCTACCTGCATTTTACTGAAGAAAACACAGAGCTGAAAGGTTAACGGTCTTGCTCAAGGTCTAGCAGAGCTTGGACTCAAACCCAGGCCTCAACTCTTAGCCTTAATGATCAAATCTCACTGCTTCCCCTGCTCTCAGGCTGTTCCTGAAAATGCAGCGTATGTATTTAAAATACAACACTCGGCAGGCTATGTTTCCTTATATTCTCCCAGACTGCCAATTAGCACGTACACTCTTCCAACACCTCACACAAACAAGTGGGCCCTTGAATCAGGCCCCAGACAGGAACCCCCAGGGCAACAGTTAACATCCCCCCAATCACACCAGGATGCTCTGGGCTTCTGTGGTGCCTTCTCCAGCCAGGTGCCATGAAAGGGGGTGACGCTAGGTGGGGTCTCCTGGCCCCAAACCCCACCGGCAGAGCAAGGCTTCCCACCCCTCACCTGTGCACATTTTCCATGGCGGCGACCTCCGCCAGCGCCGTGAGGCTGAAGAAAGCAGACACAGCGGGCATGTCTGGGGTGCTGCTGCGCGTCTCGGCCGCCTCGGCGCCGCCGTGGTGTGCGCATTCTTCATTGCAGTCCGGCTCTGCTGCTTTCAGGAGACTCCTGGGCAGGTGTTCCTTCGGTTTGTCATCTGTAACAAAAGCGAAACCCATCACGACAGGACTGCTCTGTTCTCTCTGGAGAAGGGACACAGAAAACTCCGTGCCCATCAAAGTGAAATGAGCTAACATGCGCGCTGTTCACTGTTGCCATCCGTCGGATATGCAGGCTTTCACAGGGTCTCTTCCCCCTCGGCAACAAAGCTCTTTTATTAAGCCCGCTTGCAACCATGAGCAGCCCTGGGCCCAAAGCTGAGCCGAAGAGAAGCTGGGTTTTATCCAAGGTCGGAAAATGGGTCAGTTTGGGAGTGTGAGGGAAAAATGGACCTTGGCCAAAATAAAGCCCAAGGGTCTTCTCCAGAGGCTGTCAAAAAAACCAACAACCCCAAGAACCTGACTGACGAGATATTTTGACAGCTCATTAGCCTGTGCCCTACTGTGGCACCTTGGGCTTTTGGTATGCTGTGATGCCAACACTTAGAATTATCGTAGCATGAGAATCATCAATCCTGAGATCTCAATTTGTTATTTTTATACTGAAGACCTTATGGAAGGAAGACAAAAGGCCTGCTGGTATTTACGAAGAGATGACTCAAGCGCTAGGCAAATATATCTGTGGGATGTGAGTGCAATGTCTTTGTTCTATCATGTGGTCCTTTGTAAAGGAGGAGAATTCATATGGTGGTTTAAAAAAACATTTGAAAAAGCAAAAGCAATCAATGATGGCTGTAAGTGTCATGTGGGAAGTGCTATGATGTTTTCTACATAAAAGGGGGTCTTTCTTAAGATGCCTCTCATTCTTCTGACAAGTCAAAACTGAGGGTATTCCAACCTACAAAGTCAACACTACACAACAGAAACCAGAAAGTGAAGGAGGGAGGAGCCTGTTGGACCCCAAATCAGCACAGCAACTTGTACTGTTTATTTACTCACTCAACAATTCACTGCTATTAATACCTAGATTTATAAATATCATGCCAAGAACCACTTGCTCAAATATTTTTACTATTTATATAAGGTCACCATGAGCTTCGACCTGTTTCTGGAAACTGGATGAAAAAAAGGGAGAGGTCACTTTCCCCAGGGCCGATAGAGAAGAATGCTGAAGGTCCTGGACGGTGACAGGCAAGACCACGAATGACAGAGGTCCAGGGGGTACTGCTGAGTACTTGATCCCCACCCCTATCTCGAGACGCTCAGGCAAATCAGCTGCTACTGATTGATTTGGTTAAGGAATGGCTCAAAGGACTGAGCCATTTGGTTAAGGAATGGCTCAAAGGACATCCATACACATTTTCAGGCACCCAAACTGGGCAGGATCAGCAAGTTGTATATGCTCCAGGCTTTTTAAGGTTCTTTCATCCAGAGAGTTGAGTATCTAATATTCTGGCTTGCAAGAGTTTTGAAGTGTGAATTAGGAGATGTACCGGCTCTTTGGGGAATTTAGCTAATCAAGACTATTTCTTGTCCGTGCTGAGAAAGGGAAGGAGGTGCAAACAGTTCTCAATAGTCCTGTTACAATTTCTAAGGATCCCAAAGATGCCTTTCAAAAACCAGCTTCAGTTTTATAACATGGCATCAAACGTGTACCTTGGGGTGTCTCCAGGAGATCCACAAGGAGAGACTCTCAGGTGAATCTCAGGTGAGTCAAGCATACAGAATGGTGAGGACCCAGAGTTGCCCATGAGTCCACAACGATCAACTATTTGCTCTAATTGCTCAGGTTCCCTTTTCTTACCCAAAGTACCTCCTGCTGGGGACACCCGGCCATCCGCTGTCCTCACAAGATGTGTGATCTTGGTTTTCCTTGCTTTTCTCTTCTGGCTGCCCACCAGAGGTTCTTGCATTGCTGTGGGCTCAGAAGTGTTGGAAATGGATGGGGTGGCATTTTTAACCTTATAAGCAGGCTCTGTGGTGTTTTTGTCTTCTGAAAATATGGCTGAAATAGGACAAACCACAAATATAGTTACAAACAAAAACGCAAGGCATCAACTTTTTCTCTTGGAAGGATGCATTTCAAAATGTCTGGATTGACATTCAGAATTTTTGAAAGCAATGATGGAAAAAGAGATAGAACATTGTCCATATTTGTTTATATAGGGACTGTATAAACATCTTTGTATCTTCACTGACGAATTACTTTCAGAGGGGTAAGATGCCCCTCCTCTCTAACAGACCCCTGAACCAAGAGGCCAGTGGAGTATTGTTTACAAATGTTTCGATTTTGTAGGCTGGGGAGGAGCATGTCCACGCAAATCTAAATAACGTCGCAGTCACGTGCAAGTCTTACGTGTGGTCTGGGGCCCCACCTGAGGGTTTTATGTCAGTTGGTCTACAAAGGGTGAACAAAGTTTATTTTCTTTCAAAGGTACTTAGATAGATATGTACTTTTAAAATTTATAGGCACAGTATTTTAACCTTCTAATCTGTACCGGGATTTAAAAAAAAAAAAAAGCTACAAAATCAGAGAAACCTTCTATGAAACGAAACGGTCAGAATGGCAAGCCTGACCTGCCGTCTCGTTCTATACGTGTTTTCAGGCCGTGCGTCCATCTCTCCACCCCCCCCCACCCGCAAGAATGCTGTGCTCTTCAATTGACATCATGCCAACATCTTGGCATCCTCCAGGAACCCAAATCATCTTCTTTTGAAACGCTCTTTGCATTTGAGGAACAAGAAGGATGGAGGGGCAAGATCGGGCTGGAGGTTGGATGAGGTAAAGTTTTCTAAGGAAATTTCCATAGGACAGCCCTTACTGCTGCTTGCCGAACGAGCAGGTGCACAGTCATGGCAGCACAAAGACATCCTTGGGGCAATAGTCCTGGCTTTGTTCCTCACCAATGTAGTTTCAATTTCCTTAACACTTAGACCTAATAAGTCCCCATGATCAGCTGTGTCCTTCATGGAAATCTATGACTATTACTCCTTTGGAATCCCCCAAACAGCTGCCATTAATCTGAGCTGAACTGACTTGAATTTACCCGACATAGCAGATGCCCCCTCAGAAGTGACATTTTTTTTACTGAACCCCTTTTTTTTTTTTGAAGGCACCTTAGTGATACTAAGAGAAATATTTCACCCAGAAAACTTCATGACCATAGACATATGTTAAATATGTGTTTTATTGGAAATAAATCCATGTACATATGAACTGGAATTACAGTATCAAGTTTAAAAATTTACTCTCCTACAACTCTAATGGGTTTAGGTATACTATATTAGCAAAATAGAAAGGCGATGATTTCCTGAGATCTTAGCCTAGAAGTCATATTCCTTTGTCTTGATCGATATCTAAAAAGAGGCCGATTATGGACTTCCCATTCCAAAATAAATGGGAAATAATTAGCGTTACAAAATAAGTTTCTACCATGTAGATTCGAGGCTTGGTGTTAGCTCAATATTGTGTAACATGACTATATAAAGACCAGCTTAAGATTACAGAGCTGTTTTTAACACACCCCAAAACAATTTGGCAGTGTTTCCCAATACCCTTTTAAGTAGCTAAGCACAAATTAAGAAAAAGGCTCCTTTCCATTATACATATATATTTCGGTCAAACCCATCTACCTCAATGGTGGATTATTTTCTTAAAGTTAGATACTCAGTTAAGAGTATTTTAACTTTGATTTTTAGCTTAATGCAAGTCAGCTGTGGTAATATAAGCTTTAACAATGTATTTTTAAAATAAAAAAAAGTCTACTAAAAAAAAGAACATAATTGGTTAGAAAAACTCAAGAAAAGTTTTATGGTTTCCCTTTAAATTCAAAGCTTTCTAACAGTATACGAAAACACCCCCCCAACCTATTGCCATCTAGTCAATTCCCACTCATAACTACCCTCTGGGGCAGAGTAGAAGTGGTTTGGGGGGAAATACCTGATCTCTACTGAGGCTCGGAGGTATGGAAGTAACACTCATAAAGGGATGGGGGCTCTACTCTTCACTTTCTTTTTACGAACTGTGGGACCATAGGTCTCAGTGTCCTCCTATGAAGACAGGGTTTGGGCTAGGTTAATGCCAAGTAGTCATCCAGCCGTAAAAGTCTGTTGCTTCGGGCAGAGAATCCACAACCAGTGACCTTGACCAAGGTAAAATGAGCTGCCAGCCAGCAGCAGAGTCACAGGCTGAGGTAGAGGGCTCCATTGACTGGCACTAGATTGGTGGCTTTGGGGCTCTATGTTTTTATGTGAGCCTTCAAATAATTTCATGTGTAATCAATGGTTGTTCTCCTGGATGTTCTGGATGAACTGGTATATGAAAACAAAAACGAAACACAGTAAGAGGCCAAGGGCTTAACTGCAAAGGGATTGAAAATGACAGGCATCCTCTAAAAGGAGGCTGCGACTAGGGAAAGCCCAGAAACCAGCAGACAGGGAGGTAGAGAGTTAAAACTGCTTGGTTCCATGCTAGTCAGTGGTAGTCAGACTCTACAGGTCAAAGTGTCAGGAGATGGAAAAGCAGTTGAATAATATTCCAGACCAAGCAGAGGAGGGAAAAAGGAGAGCGAGAAAGAGAAGGGAGAACAAAGGAAGGGGAAGGAGAGGCTGCATTGAAAGTTCTCAGAAAGTCCTGCACATGAGATGATGCCACCTCCAAGTCTCCCCTAGGCTGACTGTTTAATCAAGTCGTGATCACGGGCCTGCGGTCCTCCACTTTAGGACAATGTGTAATCTGAGCCTGTTAGTTTGGGATACTGTTGGGAAGATGGCGCAGGGCTGGGGCAGTGCTTCTTTCACCTGTACATAGGGTCACGATGAGGTGGCACCAACTTGACAACAGCGCTGTAACGCATCCCACACGATCAGGCAGACCTAGGGCACACTGTCCACAACAGCCTGAGAGATAGGCTTTAGGGAGATTCCTCTCCAAGTCAGAAGACCTGAGGAAGGTAAGTGGCCACTTCAACGACTAGTGCCTGGGACAAATGAGTACAATGAGGCTGTCAATGTTAGCAAAGCAAAAGAAAGCTCGATGGTAAGGGGCGTGAAACAGCACCCAAAAGGAACCAAGCCTGAACGCCGAGTTCAAAGACATCAAACCAACTGCTTTCTCTGCATCCCCCACCCCAACTCCAATCTGCCAAACTAAGGGAAATGTGGAAAAAGAAAGGCTTTTGTCTTCCAAAAGCCTGTGAGCTATTTCTCTTTCAGCTTTTAACTCAACACACAAGATTAACAGAGCATTGCAGAACAAGTCCACAGGGCTGTTTTTTACACTCCACCATAATCATAACACACAGAGAACATATCTTTGGAGAGTGATAACGTGAGCTCACTTTGGAGACACACTAGGACAGGAGCCATAAGAGACTATCTTTTGTTTTCCAAATTTCGCTACCAAAATGTGGAGTAAGTGTTTCAGGGGAAGCAGCGATACCCTAAGAGACCACTCTAGAGTGGTCTAGAGTCATGAATTTACTCCAACTAGGGGTTTCAGACTGCTGAAATTATTACAGCTGACATTTGAAACCTCATTGCCTCTGGTAGGTCTCCCATGAGCTGCAACAGCAGTCACATGCTGAATGGAACATTGGGGGGGAAAATCAGATGAACGAGCCTTATCTAACATCCCAGGAGACTTTGCAAAATTTATATAGTAACTATTTCAAAATGGAAGACGGCAAGTTGCCCTATTTGCTAAGGAATGCATAATCTTACGGAGAGTCCTTGTCGGGCTTTTGTTCTGTTCTTCTTGTAAGGCACCCGAGACCCACGTGAGCCAAATCAGCGTTAGAAATCTCCAGAGAGTGACCAATGAGGCAGCAGTCAAGACAACTAATTAAAAAAACTGTAATATCCCTCAGTCAACTACACTAACTATCATCATCACCAACATTACAACTGGTTACACTTTGGGCTGCTAACCACCAGGCCAGACGAAGTGAACTGCCAGGTGCTCCACAGCAGAAAGACAAGGCTTCTGCTTCGGTAAAGATCCACACCCTTGGACACTCTCAAGGGCAAGTGCCTTGACCTACAGGGTTGCTAGGAGTTGGAATCAACATGATGACACCGAATTTGGTTTTGGTGTGAGCTTATGCATGAGCGTGAGACCCAATAACTTGATGGATAAACACAGTAGTACCGGTAGATAGTCCTGGTTTATCGGAAAATTATATGAAACAATTTCAGGAAGTGGTTTATCCATTTTGAATCTTACAAATATGGGGGAAGGAGGCTTATGACAAATTAATTATAGGCGCAGCATCCAAACCTCTGATCTATTACTAAACATCCCCCAAATTTCTAATGTCTAAAAAAAATGAGTGAAAGCCAATTATACACAGGGCAGTGTAAAGAAAGTATGGTGAACTTTAAATTATCTACATTTGAAGGAGCCAGCAACACTTTTTTTCAAATCATTTTATTGGGGGCTCGTACAACTCTTATCACAATACGTCCATCTATCCATTGTGTCAAGCACATTTGCCATCATCATTCTCAAAGCATTTGCTTTCTACTTGAGCCTTGGTATCAGCTCATTTTCCCCCCTCCCTTGATAATTTATAAATTATTATTATCTTGTCATGTTGCACACTGTCTGACATCTCCCTTCACCTGCTATTCTGTTGTCTGTCCCCCAGGGAGGGGGTTATATGTAGATCATTGTGACCAGTTCTCCCTTTCTCCCCCACCTTCCACTTCCCCTCCAGTAGTATCGCTACTCTCATTACTGGTCTTGAGGGCTTTATCTGTCCTGGATCCCTGTGTTTCCAGTTCCTATCTGTACCAGTGTACATGCTCTGCTCTAGCCTGAATTGTAAGGTAGAATTGGGATCATGACAGTGGGGGGAAGAGCATTAAAGAACTAGAGGAAAGTTGTGTGTTTCATCGGTGCTATACTACACCCTCCCTGGCTCATTTCCTTCCCATGATCCTTCTATAAGGGGATGTCCAATTGCCTATAGATGGGCTTTGGGTCTCCACTCCACACTCCCTCTCATTCTCAATGATATGATTTTTTTTTACTTTTATGCCCGATACCTGATCCTATCGATACCTTGTGATCACACAGGCTAGTGTGCTTCTTCCATGGGGGTTTTGCTGCTTCTCAGCTAGATGGCCCCTTGTTTATATTCAAGTCTTTAAGACCCCAGATGCTATATCTTTTGATAGTCGGGCACCATCAACTTTCTTCACCACATTTGTTTATGCATCTGCTTTGTCTTCTGCGATCGCTTATGGATGGTGAGCATCATGGAATGCCAGGTTAATAGAACAAAGTGTTCTTGCATTGAGGGAATTCTTGAGTGGAGACCTAGTGTCATCTACTATCTTAATACTAAACCTATAAATATATGCACATAGATATATTTCCCCATCATCATATATAAATATATTTACATATGTACGTGCCTGTATTTAGACCTCTTTAAATGCCCTTTGCCTCCTAGTTCTTTCCTCTATTTCCTTTTACTTTCCTCTTGTCCCACTATCATGCTCAGCCTTCATTTGGGTTTCAGTAATTCCTCTCAGTTACACTGCCTTTGATCAAGCCCTACCAGCCCCTCTACACCCTCCTCGCCATTGAGTTTGGATTACTTGTCTTTCTCTTATCTCTGGGGTTGTTAACAACCACTTCCTTTTTTCTGCCTCCCCCTCTCCCATAGCCGCATCCCCTCCCCCAAACTGTGGGTCCCGGTTGTTGTTTTCTCCCCGATTGTTTATCCCACCCATCTTATCTAGATAGACCTGCAGAGATATTATGCACAAAAAATAAGACAGAGCGAAACAGAGCAAAAACAAAAAAGGAAAACAGTAACAACAACAGAAAACCAATGAAAAAACAAATAAAAGAAAGCCTGTAAATAGTTCAAGGTCTGTTTGTTGACCTTTAGGAGTGTTTTCTGGTAGTCTTATGGGGTGTCACGCCCTGGCCCCACTGTCTAGTTTTGGTATTCCTTGGGGATTTTGTTGCAATAATTTTATAACAGTTGCATCAACATATCTATTGTAGGCATCAGCTTCAAACCAGGGCTTCAAACTGGTTCATACTAGTCTGCCTGCCAGCTGAGAATTGGCATTTTCACCCAGATATACTTAATCAGAACCTACATTTTAACAAGATCCCTGAAGCTCTGTTTTAAGCAATTCTAACCTTTTCCTAGGATAACTTACAAATGTAAAATTATCCTAATTCTGATTTTGTTTTCTGTCTCTTTACAAGTGTATACTCTAAGCCTTAGAGGGAAAGTTTTAATAAACAGTGTGATATGGCTGTATGTGAGAGAGATGACCAGGCTTAGGGCCCAATGATTCAGTTGACAGCTACCATCTAACAAGTAAATGATGAAAACAATGGCAACAAAAAGGCCCCTTTAAAAGCAGGTTCAAACTAAGCCGAGCTGGTTCAGTCATGGCCCATGCTATACAATTAAAATACACTGAAATTTATAAAATGCAGTTGCCTGGTACAATAATGGGAATTAGGAAGACCACAGATTGATAACCTGATAGAAACTGAATTTGCCACTTGGAAAACAAGGGCAGAATGTGTGTTGATAGCAACCACGTCTCGTGCCTGGCAGCGTTAGAAACAATGGTGGCCGATGCAGCTACTCTGAATGTGTGCTACTCTCCACAGCCCTGGCAATAATCCAATTTCCCCAATTATCCCCAAATATCCAATTATCCTCCTGAAAGGGCTTACGATGCCTCTTCTGAATCTCTCATTCCAAGGTGAAAACCCACAGTTCTTTCTGTTTCAGTTATTTTGAGGGCGTCCACACTTTACAAGCTCCAGGCTATCCCAGATTCCCTTTGCTGGCCATGACTAAAGCAGCTCAAACCGGTTCAAAGCCTTCCTTTTAATTACTGGCAATTTCTGATATTCAGACTACCTTGATTTCTTTTTTCGATCCTGTATAATGAGTTTGAACTGCATACTAAAGTCCATGCATTTTTCAGTGTACATTATCCAAAATTATGTTCAATATTCATTAATAGTTCATGTAATTAAATATCTCCAATAATAAATCGACTTTCATCAAACCCTTGGGGCTGCCTGTAACACTCAAAATTGATTTACTTCGAACCAAAAAGAGCAGAAAATTAGGGCTGTGAAAACAGTGCTCCCAGATCACACCAAGCACTCAGACATCCTAGTAATAAAATCATCAGCTGTTGGAGGGGCGATGGAGTTTAAAGTTCATGGAGTACTACATGACACCATCCACCCCATCCCTAATGGCATGTATTATACACATCCTTAGCATGGATGTAGGGGAGAGACGCTCAGTCATATTTCCAATCGCCTACTAAAAATTTCTAATTAGTGGCCTAGCTGAGAGTGAAAAGTAGGTTTCTAATTTCCTAGGGAATTGCTCTCTCTACCACACTGCACATGCTGCCAACTCCTTTTACGTGACGTGCGCACTTTCTGGGTTTAAAAAATAAAACATTAAGACCAGAGAGGAACCCTGAAAACTATTGCCCTAAGAAAATATCTTTAACTTGGAACTGAAACTATTTCTAAAGCTCACCTTTCAGCCAAATAACAGATTCACTTATAAAATAAAGAGTTATCATTTGTGAGGAATATGCTCCTTACACAAGCAACTACATGAGATCAGTCAGCATTTCCCCAAGAGCAAAGATGGGAAAGTTATAAGGAGGTAGGAAGACAGAGCAATGGAAACAGAGCTACCAGTAGGGAAATAATAAGAAAGCCAACACATCGTGAACATTGTCACCATTGTGATGAACTAGTTTGTGTAAAATTTTTACACGGAAACCTAATTGTGTAGAATTACACTTAAAATATAACAAACTATTACATTTTAAAAACCAACCCAAAACCAAACGTTTAGTACAAACAGTGTCATTTCTGGCAAAGAACAACGTGGTCTAAAATGACTATTTTAGGTTCCTATGATAGTTCGTCAGTGCCTTATGCTTATCAAATCTGTGCAGAATATATTTTTTAAATGCATCAAAGCTACTGTATCAATTTTGAAACGTGCATTTAACCCTGAAGACAGCACAGCAAGTCACATTTTGTTTTGCCAGTGTTTAAGCAGAAATCATGTTCGAGAGGAGCATTATTGTGAACGTGAAATAACAGGTCAGAAAAGAGACACACTGCCAGAATTTCATGAAAAATTACAGAAACACAGATATGTGGCGCATATGAACCATGCCTTCCAAACACGAAGATGCTGCGCTACCAAAAACTCCAACAGCAGACTTGAATATTTTGGACTAAGATCTTTAAAAGTGGGTCTGTTTGATAAATGACTTAGGTCAAAAGTGCATCTTACTTTAACTTTCCTTTTTTCAGTAAAGGAATGGTAACATATAATCCCAGAGCTAGGAAACAGACTTGCTCATTAAATCCCCCTCCCGATATAAACCAACGGAGCCGGGCTGGATGAGCTCTAAGATTTCCAAGCTATCTGTTAGTTCTCAAATGCCGTGACTTCTAATGAAGGGCTACAGAAAACCATGAGCCCTTTTTAATATCTATAATGCTGGAGAACCAGAGAATGGATGTGAAAAAGGCAGGGGTAGCCCATTAGCCATCGCAGAAATTAGAGTTTATCTACAAGGTTCAATACTGAAGAGGAATTAGATGAAGTCACACATATTGTTGCCTGAAATGAAATGAAATCTGCACTTAGGACCTGCAACATAGTTCATTAATACTGAACTGTGCTTTGGCTCTGTACAAGCCTCTGACACTCATTGTAACAAATACAGAAGTAGGAGGAAGACGGCCCTAGGAGGTGTACATAGCCTGCTCCGGGGTACAAACGGAAACACTGGGTGTTCCAAACCACAGATTCCCAAAGTTACTTGGCCTACAGTCCTCTTTTCAGGAAAAAACACAACAAAACAAAAACTCGGCACCCCCCCCTCCAATTACAAATGTTTTTGCCCTTTTGCCCATAATCCAGGATAAAATACAGGGACCTGCTTTTGTAGTTCACCTGGAGCCCAGGTGGCACGGTGCGAGGCACTGCCTGCTAACCAGCCGCTCGGAGGGAGACAGACAGGGCTTCCTCCTCCTGTGAGAGTCGCAGTCCTGGAAAAGCACAGGAGCAGTTCTACCCTGTCCTTCAGGGCAGCTATGAGTCAGCATTCACGCAAAGGTCGTGGGTCTGTATTGTGTTTTGTTTGGATCTAGCCAGTGCCCCCCAGGGGGCAGTATTCCCCACCTAGAGAAACACTGACCTAAACCAGGAGCAAATTTTGGTGAAAGGTGAGCTTCCTGATCTACTTCCATAAAAAGGAAGGCCAAGAAAACACCAGGAAATACTTCTCTGTAACACATGGGGGTCACTACAAATTGTACCTGACCCCACCGTAATTTTATTTGTTTGTTTGAGAGATATGTGAAGCCATGCCAGGGGGAAAGTTCAGTCCAGGAATCATTTCTGCAGGCTTGCTAATGCCCAGCCGACCAAGAGAGTCCCACAGTGCCCAATTCTGACTTTCTAAGGCATCTGTCTGCAACACAAACTGTGGTGCTGTATATTTTTAGCTACAAATGACTCTAATTTCTGTTAATCTGGCTCATAGGTTATAAAGTTCCCTTAAAAAAATTAAACCCCACGTGACATGTGGCCTGAATCTTAGCAGGAGTCCAATAAATAATAGTTTTGTTTTGAACATGAAAAATAGCCTAATTATGGACAAGCAGGTCTAATATTGTTAGTAAGGGCTCTAAAAAGTATGCCTCTTTCAGTACAGTGAAGACTACTCAATGCAATGCAATGGAGTTACCTTCTGTAGGGTGAATGGCATCCAAGAAGAGTTGCCTGTTGGACCATTTATCCCCACTTCCTATAAACAAGGAAAAGGAGAAGGAATGTGAAACTGTACTCCCATTACAGACACTTAAAAAAAAAGATAAAATACAAAACACTTTAAACAAAAATGTACAAAACACGAAACGTTATCACACAAATGAAGTCCAACATCACTTTAGCTATTTTATTCTCAAAACTGTATTTGTCACCCAACGAGACTATCCAGAAAACAGATTAAAAATGAATCTTTTATAAAATAAATTCTTAGGTAATATCTACAACTTTAATCATAGTCATTTGAAGGTCAGTTAAAAGGCAATGGAAAGGTGCCATTTTACCTAAAGAGTGAAGTTTTTCCACTGGAACCAGAGAAAGAGTAATATCAATACACAAACAAGAGATGCAGAAGTAGAGGTGAAAATAAAAATTAAGTCAAAGGTCAAACACAGGAACACATAAGCACATATGTCTGCACATGGACGACAGCTGCATTAAAAGCTTCACTCAAGAATCATGAAATGCTTCACATATGGCCATGCAAGTAGGATGCAAATGGGCACTGGGTGAGTAGGTGGATGGCAGTCACTGTCGACACATGCAGGGAGATGCTAAAGAAAGCCTGACTCCTAGGACAGGTGGCTGCACTGAGCCAGATGGGAAGATTTCTCTTTCATGTGAAAGGAAAGGGGTCCTGAATTTGAAAAGAAGGGGGTTTTAAGACGGGCCCTGAGATTTTCAGGGCGCATCCTGGTGCCAGCAAGGAGGTAGATGTTCAGAGTAAAGGGGGTGGCAGGGTGCCCTCTGGAATCACAGCTGTGTAACTGAAGGAGGCCAGGCAGAGTCTGGCAAACGATGAAGCATTTAGAGGGAGGGGGAAAAAAGAAGCAAGTAATGGTTCAGAAGTGGAGAAAAAGGTCCACAAGAACCCTCAAGTGTCAGACAAGGCCTGGGCATTGTGAGATTTTCGGAGGGTATGAATCTGGCGCGGCCTCGGGAGGTGGGGAAATGTGGCCCTGGTCTGAAGGCTGTCAAACATGAGGAAAACAAGAATGAAAACGCCAACAGAAATAGGTGAATAGGAGCTCAAGAAGACTAAATTTTAAAAACGCATCAAATATAGATGAGCAGAAGCAATTTTGGGATTCACATGGAACTCTAAAAATAGAGACAAATCCGGGTTTTGCCTACAGAGTTCCCAGTGAAGGCAATCTCCCTCTGCAGTTAGCGGTGCGGTCCCGGGATACTGAAAAGGAAGCCCGTGTCAGGAGCTGATGGCGTTGAAGCAAGCAGAGGAGAGGGAAGGGCACAGGCGGCACAGGGAAGCATTGCTCAAGGATGCAGTCACAATGGAGGTGGCCAAGAAATCTTAATGGAGGATGGAAGGCTCCGATACCTTTTTCTGGATCATTAGGTTTCTCCTTTTTGTGCTTATATTTGCTGACAATTTTGTGGAATAAGTTCTTTTTCTGAGACTGGAATGGACCTACAGACAATATTAATATAAATATGTCTTATTTCACAATGCCTTAGAAAACAATACTGTGTGTTTCTAAACAATCAAACCTCCTCCCACCGGTAGAATTAGCAGGCTGATTTGCAAGGAACATCATCTCACATCTTCCCCTGTCTAACTTAACAGTGCTCTTCATGCCCCTTTTTGGGCTTATTTGAAACCCAGGGAGATTTGTCTTAGTTACAAGTGTTGGGCGGGAGCCTCCATTAGGGTGGGACGTAGATTTACTTGAGTGCTGCAATGATAGCTAATGGCTTTTAAGACAGACAATGGCCAGTAACATCAGAGCAGCTGTAGTCTGGAGCTGAGCAAAGATTTTACTTCAAAGATTCCTAAATATCACCATGGAAAGAATGATATGTAGTTCATTGCTCTCAAGAAAATGATTTTCACACGAAAGACTGCTTTCAGGACAAAGTTTGGCCTAACATCTTATTAGGTAGTTTTCTAACCTTTTCAGAGCATATTCTAGGAAGAAAAAAAGATTATTTAAAATCGAAAGATATGAGGGTAAGTTCAAATGTATTGATATGAAGGTTCCTACATGCAAGGGTTTATTCCAAACAAAGTGTATTTAAGTGTCTCTGCGATCAACGGATGGCTGCACAGTAGCTTGCTCAGTGATGGGCTTGCCTCCATTCTCCTTTCAGTACCTTCAAGATAAAAGGTCCAATCAAAAGAGTGGCTTCCAAAGGGATCTGCTGGCCCAATTCAAGGCAGAGCGTTCAGCTCAGAAGGTTGTAGGGACTATTGTTAGGGAATCCCAAAGGTAATCGTGACACATCTTTTCAAAGGACATAGAACAACCATGGGTTTATTACAAAGTTTTCATAAAACTGGAAACTGCATTGGTGAGAAAAAGGCCAGGGAACTTGTGTCGAGGAATTTTCTTTTTTAATCACAACAATGATCTTGCTCCTTCTTCAAAGGTAGCAAGGGGTGTCATACAAGAATTTTGTTGGGAAATATTACTCTAGCTAACCTACAGCCAGGAATCCTGGTCGCATAATGGGCTAGGCGCTGCCCTGCTGCCCAGAAAGGCTCTGGTTTAAATCTATCAGCTGCTCTGCAGGAGAAAGATGAGGCTGCCCGCTCCCTTACATATTTAGGCTGCTGTGAGTTGAAATCAGCTCAATGGCAGTGGATTAGGTGGGTTTTATCCTAAAACCCCGATCGTGACCCTTCAGATTTGTATTCCTGGTCGACGCCCAAACTGCTATTTTAGCATGTTGTAAATAGAAGACTGTAGAATTCTTTCTGGAGAGGTTCAAGAGATAGGAACACCATCTTTAAAGGTGTATGCGCCTAGATGGGGGGTAGGTGGTGAAACAACAGTTGGCTTGTAGGACACCACTCCCCCTGGTTTTCTCTCCCCCCTCACTGACCCCTGTGCTCCGTTTCCTCATCTTCTCCCTGATCTCTTAATTTTGGAATGTTCTCAGCTTGGATGCTGTCCTCCTCTCTATTCTGTTCTGTCACCTGATGATTGCTCCAGTCACAAGTTACACACTGATGACTCAGTCTAATCAGACCCCCTTCTGTGCCACACAGATTCTGGAAGCCTGTGTTCTTATGAATGAAAAAAGATTTGATTCAGAGCTTCATTACCTTTATGACTTCATCCCCTACTATTTCCAACCCGTTCTTCTCCTCCAGCCTCTCCAGCTGCACTGGCGTCCTGACTGTCCTGAGCCCATGCAGTCTCACTCCTGCTTTAAGCCTATGCACAACTGTAACCGCTGCTAGAAAATTCTCTTCCTAACACACCTGTAACCGTTGCTAGAATGTTTTCTTACACACACACACACACACACACATCCCTACCTTCACACACACACACACACACACACACACACACACACACACACACACACACTTTCTGCACACCCTTCGAGGCTCTGTGGAGCCATCTCCTGACCACCCTTTGCAAAAACTGCAAGCTACCACTTAGATGGGAAGTAAATGAGTTGACCAGTGGAAAGAACAAGCTGTTTGAAAATTTTGATAGTCCCAGTGGTCAAGCTGATTTGCATATAAAAGACCCCTACTCTGCTGAGACTGCACAGCCGATGGCACTGCCACTACACTAGGGCAAGTGAAAAAAGGCGTTGCTTCAAAATCATAGAAACCTTTATTAAACAACAGCAGCAAAATGTGAAGTAATTCTCTTTCAGCCTACCCTCCCCATCTCGGTCTACATTTTCTAAAGGCGGTGCTTGCTTCTAGCTCTTTCCTCAAGATTTTTGCACTCTCTGCTTTACACTGTCTCAAAACGGCAGTGTTGGCAGCCTCCAAGGACTCAAATCACATCCCTTTTAAACGCTCATTGAGATGGCAGCACATAAAGAAATCTGATGGGCCCAGATCAGGGCTGGAGGGTGGATAGGGAAAGGATTCCCAGCAAAATTACCAGTGAGCAGCCTTTGCTACCCTCCAGGCAGGAGCAGGTGCGCTGCTGAGCTGGAACAGCGTTTCCCTGGAACAGCTCTCCGGGTCCTTTTCTCAGCAGTGCCGTCCTCAGCAGCAAAGACCGAGTCTGGTTCCTCTCAGTTACTTAGGAGTGTGTTGTTCTAATTTTTACACGTGTCTGAGTTTCCCATATTTCTTTTTCACTGACTACTAGTTTCATTCCATTGTAGTTAGGCACTATACAAAAAAGGATTATTTTAACCCTTTTATATATACTGAAAAGAGTTCTGGTAGTGTAGTGAGTTACAAGTGGGGCTGATAACTACGAGGTAAGCAGTTTGAAACCACCAGCTTCTCCTCAGGAGGAAGATGAGGCTCCCTACTCCAACAGAGAGTCAGTTTCTTGAAAACCCCACAGGGGCAGCTCAACTCTGGCCCTGTGGTCACTAGAGTTGGAATGGACTCGACTCGAGGGAAGTGGAATAAAACCATGTATCTATTGAGACATTCTGTTTGTTTTAAGACTGTCCCGTGTGCATTTGAGAAAAGTGTACGTCATAGTTTCCCAAACTTACCTGGCCTACTGCTCCTTTCAGAGAAAAACATTACTCAGTGCCCCCTGGCAATGAAAGACGTTTATACTATCGCTATAATCCAGGCTAAAGTATAAAGATATTTGCTTGCTTTTGCAGTCCCTGCCCCCCAACCTCTCACAATTGTTCCAGAGCCCCTAAGGGGCAGTATTTTATGGGGGCAAACTGCTGTATATCTTGATGTTGTTAGGCAGTGTTTTACAGATGCATTAGGGTGAGTGGGTTTGCAGCATGGCTCAAGTCTCCTACTTCCTTGCTGATCTCCTGCCTGGCTGCTCTCGCAAACCGTATTTCCCCATAGTACTTCCCACTGTCTAACGTCCCATACACACTTTACTTGTTGTTTAGTTTTACTTATTACCTGGTCCCCATGTCATGAAATAACCACCGGGGTGGCAGGAGGTTGCTCTCCATATGTAATTTTTGCTTGAATAAATAAATGCTCTTAGAGCAGTGAGGGAATAAAGTTTGAACTCAAGAAGTCAAGTCGCTGCTGTTATTACTGATCCTATACGACCGTGCATGTGTGTTCCATGCCTACACCAGGACATCACACCAAACAGCCAATAGCAAACTTATCTGAATCGATTGCTGGTGGTTTGCAATGGAATTAGAAAACGTTTCCTTGTTTGTTTCTTTGGGGAAAAGATGAGTAATAAGAGAAACCACTGAACAAATGCAAAGGAAGTATAGCATATGTATAGCTTCCAGGTAGTCTCTCTAATCCATTTACCATCACGACCTTATGCACATTTTCTACAACTCAGGGAACTGCAAGCTGGCACACCTGGAACATACATGGGCCATCGTGGAAAATGGATATAGAAGACAACAAAAGCAATCTTGAGGCTTTTTAGGATCTAAGGATCCTAGAGATTAAACTGTAGACAAATAATGTAATAAGGCATTGGATCATAGAAAGAGTGATTTCTGCATAAAGAAGTGGTTCCGAAAAGGAAAGTTTTGGAGCATAGAGAAGTGTCAAGAAAGAAGAAAATGGTTCACCTTTTCTTACCCAATCACACTCAGAAATGGAGCAAATACAATTTAACTATGGTCACAGCTAAAGGTAGAACCCACTGCCTTTAGCATTAAAAAAAGGAAAAAGAAAAAACGAGTGATTTTTTAGACAGAAGAGCTTTTGTAAATTTACTCTCCACTAATAGACATTTTAAAACTTCCTTCTATCCCACCAAACTGTAGATATAAAGCAAACCTATGTTAATGACAATTTCAGATAAGACGGTGACACACTTAAAGAGAATGAGTAATGGATTAGATATAAATGTAGTCACTGAAAAGCAGCAATTTTAGAATTAAGAATGGAATAATTATTTTTGCTTGCCAGTATAGTATGCACACCTGCCTTTTGCCTTAATTATTACATAACATAGACGAGCTCATGAAGGAAAAGATGAGAGAATGTGGCAAGCAGAGAAAATCAGGTGAGATTGAATCACTGAGAAAACAAACGTTCACCAATCGTCCTTTATTTTACGTCTCATGCTTTCTTTTTTCACCTCCTTTACTACCAAGCAGCCTCAGTTTTCTACCAACATCTGTCTCCCTGAGACAAAAATCACAAAATGTGGGCATACAGACTCTTACTAGGTCCCTGTGGGACAAAGAACTAGACTTGGCATTTTGTCTCTGGTTTCTACAAACAGAACATAGAATTCCTCAGCAGTCAAGATACCCAGTTTTCCAAAACCTTCAGGCAACACTTTAACATGTGTACATGAATTGGGACCTGGTGGCCCAACCTTCTCAACAAATCTAAGAAAGGGGGGGGTGGGGCTTGATAGTTACATTCAATCTTAGCTATGCATCAAAGGCTCACGTATATGCAAAGATTTAGAGATACTGGACCTTTCTTTTTTCGAGGCAAGAGCATGTACTGAAGAGCGTGGCACATGCCCGGGGACAGTGACAACTGGTTGCCATAATCTCTTCCACACCTTGCCCAGA